AGATTAAATTGTGTGGCAGCATTTTGGCAATGCTCAGAATGAAACTTCCACTTGTGGCCAGCAAGCTGCCGGCTGTCCTCCGGACAATTAATTGTGCACAAGTACATATATCATGAAAACATATCACGACAGATGAATACCTGTAAAGAGAATGAAAGGCAATCATGACTCCTTTAGATGAGGAAATGCATCAGTTTTGGGGGAAGCGTTTCCTGGACAACTGGATCCATCTACTCGAGAGATGAAGCAAAAACCTAGATGTGGAGTTCCCAGTTCATCAGTTTGATGTTGGGAAATCAGTATGGAAGAAATGCAATCTTACTCATAGTCATGAGCGATGCTCTTCAGAGTATTGCATGATGATGACACACATATCATCTAGAAAGCTTTTCAACATGGGTTTTTTCTATTGCTGTTCATGAGTTTGGCCTTTCCTTTGCTCATTGGCCATTCCAATGATCCAGGGCATTAATTTTTTATCTTTCTTATGACAGAGAAGCATGCACATTCGCTGGGAAGACCCAGGGAAACCCTTCCTTGTATCATTTTGTCATAGTATTATTGGCCAATTTGGATTTTGCCATTTGATTCTGATGCTCTACCTATGCTCAAAGAATTTTTAAAGAAAGACTCTTTTGGTGGAAGGATCCTTGGCATTGAGAAGTTTGTGGTTTTTCAACTTTTCCCTAATAGACTACCCTATCGTCTAGCACTCAAGGTTGGAGATCAGGCTCAAGTTTTTTTCTTTCTAAAGATGACAGGTTTTACTTAATCAGTAGTTATAGACTAGTACCATATAACCCCAGGAACATACATTTTTAGACTTCCTCAACCATGTTCAAGCTCATACAGATGTTATAAATCTCATACAGATGTTATAAAGCCATTTATCTACATAAAAGACCTATTCTTTTTAGAAGGCCAGAGTTAAAAGTATCATGGAAGAAGATATCTGTAAACTATAGATATACTGAAAGGGTAACAAACGGATTTCCAAAATTTGAGTTGAAGTTGATGTAGTGTTCTAGCACAACAGAACCTACTAATTTTTTCCCAAAAGTTAAACAGTTGTCACATAAAATATTTTCCAATTTCCAAAATTTGAGTTGAAGTTCATGTAGTGTTCTAGCACAACAGAACCTACTAATTTTTTCCCAAGAGTTAAACAGTTTGTACATAAAATATTTTCCAATAATGTCACCCAAAGAATGAAAATAAATGACTGATTACTAGAAACAGAATCTCAGTGATACTGATATTAGCCAATTCACTTCTGTATAACCACTTGCATATCTTCTATTTCCCAACATTTAGTTGGATGATAGATGGATCACAAAGCATAAAAAAGTGAACTCTACATATAAGAATGCAGAAATATATTTTATAATTACTTGTAAAATAATTTGAGCAGCAGTATTTTTAAATATAGAGACTGATAAATTGTTTTAGATTTATAGATTTAGACAATACAGATATTTATCAGCAAAGACATCACTTAATACTTTATATTTGAATGATAATAGAATATGTCTACAACTTTGAAGATGGTTTTAATGAAGTCATTAAGCTATTTATATTGAAATAAAATAATTTCTCTTATATGTAAAATATATATTTTGCTTACAAATAAAAGTTTTCTAAAAGAAACAATTAGGATCTGAGAAAAAAAAAGTTTGGCTTGCACACTGGCTCAAAAAATTCCAAGATCTACTTCTTGAAATGAAAAACAAAAAGCACCTATATTATCTTTTGATTTTCTCAGTTCCATAATTTAATGAGCACAAGGAAATGATACATGTAAATGAGCTGATCTTAGAGTAAGTGTCTCCAATTTTTGTTACCTCAGTTTTCTGCGCAAATAACATCTATTAGTTCTTATAATCTATTAAAGAGAGGCCATTCAATTTGGTCTCCTTTTCCGTAGGTCAGTGATACATTCATTCTAGTCCATAGAATTCATTGTCACCCTTGAGGTTGGCCTCTTCCTTCCATGTAATCACCCTTTGACAGTCTTCATACTCAGGAAGGTGTAATACTCCACTAAATCCCCTTATGTTCTCTCTTCAATGGCAAAATAGTATGCTGATTGCCTTAATAAATGCAAGATAGAATTTAAGGCCACTTCTCAAACCTTAGGCTATTAGTAAGTATGAGGCTAAGTTATTTCTTTGTTATAACTCTATTAAGTTCATAAATTTAATTTATTATAAAATCTGCAATTACATAGAAATGTCTACAAACCTTTTAGATTCTATTCTAAAAGTTATCTTTTTCTTATTCCCTTCTTTTTTTTGGAAACTGAAGAAACATGACCAGTTTGGGAGTATCTTAATTTTCCCTTTGATGTTATGATGTAATGTCATCTTATTATTGACTTTCCCTATTGACATTTTGCAACATACACTTATTGTCTTTTGACTGGTAATAAATCAACCAACAATGCAGCAATAGAAACCAGGATTGTGCCTGCACACATGGAGCATGGTGTGCTGAAGGTTCTAAGAACCAATGAAATAAAATTCACATGTAGTAATTTCACTTCTGTAGTATAACTAACTAATGTCTGTCAACCTTCAGAATTAGCTGATAGTTATTCAGCTTTTTAAGGAACATTCATTTAAGAATCCAAAAATGCTGCATTAATTAGAACCTAATACATCAATATCTTTAAACATGTATTACAATTAAAATTAATTTAATTAAAATTTAAAAATTGTGCAGACATAATATATTGTTGAAAGAGAAACCATATGAACAGTAGTTTGGAAATACCACTTTTGAAGTTCACTGAAAGTAATTAGCAACATAGCACTAATCTAAGAAAAAAATGAGAGTTGGAGAGGATAAAGTACCTAATATTTTTGTGGGCTTTATTATGAACCAGACACTATTTTAAGTCCTTTACATTTATTCTCTCGTTTAAACTATGCACAAGTAGTATCCTCATTTTACAAAGGGAGAAACTGAGTTTACACAGTTAGTTGATGATAGCACCAGGAAGTGAACCCAGCCATCCTACCCAGGGGTCTAGAGTGCTGCCACCCCACCGTGGTAAAGATACTACCTCAGAGAATAAAGATGAGTTATTTTATATATTCACCAAAAGGGAAAGAAGGGGAAAAAAACAAAACAATCAAATAAATATAACTTTCGAAATCAGAAAGAAGATAATTTGAGAGAAAGGCATAGGAAGAAAGATTCCTGAGGGAAACAGTTGAACCTCTATTTTTTAATATTTATGAATGTAAGAAATATATGCATACCACATCTCATTCCAGAACCCTCAAAGTTGGTTCTTGTACTTACATAGCATAATTTCCTCCAGTTAAGCCACAGAGTTTATTCTGTATTATTATTTACTAACATTAAGAGTTGAGAATATTTTTATAAAATTTAACAAATTACAATTACAATATTAATTTACACAAATATAATATTAATTTATTAATGAGAAATATTTTAATGTAAACATTAAAACCATTTTAAAAGCATATTTATATGATGCTAATTTCACGTTAACACTGTACTACAATATATAAATTACAGTTATATATTAAAATTAATACAATTTTTCTAGCACTCTTTTTGTTAGATTTTTATTATTTTTTTACTTTTGGAAAAAATCAAATCTCCAAAGAATAAAATTACTTTATGTTAAATTGAGTTATAATTTTTAATATAGGTAAAGTGATTTAGTAAGTTTTGTGAACTACTTCTTCAGAAATTTTTATTCCTTTTCAAAATTATATTGTTATATGTCTTTTTGTCATATTATTGATGATTATACTAACTGACAATCCGGCTCAGTTTTTCCATTTGTAAAATGTCTTGGGAAATATATTTCATATTAATGACTTTGTGGAATAGTATAATAAAAATGTTAATTTTAGATAAAGGTACTCTGTAAGAACAACAAAGATGCATGTTTAAAGTTTTTTTTTTCCCCGTAATATCTCCTGGCTCTAAGCCTTTAAAAGCAGCTCTTAAAATTGTAATATTCATGCTGAAACTTTACTGATCTTCATTAGAAGTTCATATATTCAGACCAAAATCTCTGTGAAAAAATACAATTATCTAAAGCCACTATTTATAAATACTGAGGAATTCACACACCATTAAGATGAACTAAGCTTTTTTTTTTTAAGATCTTATTTTTTTTAGAGAGAGAGAGAGAGAGAGGGTGCATGAGTGGGGGAGGGGCAGAAGGCGAGGGAAAGGGAGAGAATCCCAAGCAGACTCCCTGAGTGCAGAGTCCAACGCAGGGGCTCTATCTCAGGCCTCTAAGATTATGACCTGAGCCGAAATCAAGAGTTGGACACTTAACCGACCTGAGCCAGGCATCCCTAAGCTATTCTTAATGATGAAAAAGAAAAAGTTTTGTTTTTTCTTTTTAACATTCTTCTTTTGCGTTTTGGGGGTAAAAAATTCTTTCAATAAAATCTGTGATCTTTAGAACTAAAATGGACAGCAGTAGAAAAAGCTAATACAGTCCTGACATTTTACTTTTGAGCAAAATAAGTCCCAATGAGCTAAGCAGCTTGCCCAGGGTCACACCACCAAGATGGTAGAGACAAGCACCCTGCCTCACCCGTAGCTCAGGTCCTTACCACACCACTATACCTCATGGTTCCCTCAAAGGGAAGAGACATAACAATTCTCATGAGGAAGGACGTACCATTGATGTACTTTAATGTTTTGTTGGTTTTTTTTTTTTAAACAAATTGGGGCCACACCTCAATGCCGATCATACCTCCCCAACTGGAAAAGTGTGGTCTTCTGAATCATCAGCAGTTGCACGTTGTGTGCCATCCACTGCTTGGAGCTTCTCTGTGCTGTGAAGTATTAATAATTACTTCACTGTGTTGAACTAGATGGTACAAAATCGATCATGTTCTTATCAGGCTATATCAGGACTGCAGATCTCAGTCACTAAACCTGTTGGGCTTGTTTCCTTTCTTGTTGCCAGTGACTCTCATTATTTTCCAGCCTTCCAGCCCTGACCTGGCTGATAGAGATCAGATGGTGACTGGATAGAAGCTGCCCCAGTCCTGGGTCCATGATGTACGCGTAAGTACTCAGCTTTTCTCAGTCAGAGTTACCATCAGTGACAGAGGTTCACAACTCCTGAGACAAAAGTCAAATGTTGGCTGGTGGAGAGTGCTTTAAAAATAAAGGTTGTTTTTGTTTGTTTTTTATGTCTGTTACTGTATTTTGGATTAGTTTTATTTTGTTGCTATTTCTACATACAAGAAGTTTTTTTAAACAACAGGAGCCAACATGATTCTTTCTAAATAATAGAAATAGAAATGATGTGCAGTAATATATTTATCTATATTATATTAAAACATTTAGAAAAACCTATGCTTCAAAAGATTAATTTATAATAGTTTAATTTCTTTGGTATGATTAATAGCTTGCTATAAATTTTTGTCTTATATTGCTTTGTGAAGTATATTCTGGGAAAACTTGAAATATAAAAGGAGAGTTTATTGGAATTTCATTTTTAGTTCTAAATGGTAAAAAGTATGGTAGCAGTAAGATTATATGTATCATGAATAAAGGATGAAAGTTAAAATATTCATATCTAAATATCTAAATAATTATTGAGTTAACAAAATCTACAGTGTATGTGACATTTTCTCATAATTGAACTACAAAATAATTGATCAATTAATGAATTTAAGGTAAATAAATTTGTATATGTATATACATTTAGGTAATTTTAGCCTATCATTTTACACACTCAGAAATGAATAACTAATATTTGATATGAGTGATTTCATTCAAACACCTGCTTAGTCTATAACCTTGCTTCTCAAAGAGGTTCTTGACTTCTCTATAGACACTAATTTCCCTTGTGGTCTGCTGACTGATGTTTCAAACTTAATCATGTTTCTGTGATCATTATAATTGTACAGTCATTTGATTTTGTCTTCGGTGAAGTATAATACTTTAAGCCTGTAGGCTCCAGCACTCTTACATAATGAGTGTTCTTGCCCTTCCTAAATTACTCTGAAATAATAGCATGAGCCTGAGGAAGACTATCTATTTCATGCATAGAGCTTCTCCCCAAAGGCCCTTTCAGGACAGCACGATATAGCATATTATTGGTACTTTTTATTAAATATGAGAGGTGTACTTTTTTTAAGATTTATTTATTTATTTTAGAGAGGGAGAGACAACAAGTGGGAGAGGCAGGGTGGGAGGGAGAGAGAGAATCTCAAGTAGACTCCACACTGAGCACAGAGCCTGACATGGAGCTCGATCCCACAATCCTGAGATCATGACCTGAGCTGAAATAAAGAGTCAGACACTTAACCAACTGTGCCACCCAAGCACCCCATGAGATGTATACTTCTTATTAAATATGAGAAAGTGTTATTTCTTCTTTTTAAAGATTATTTATTTGAGAGAGAGAGAGAAGAGAGAGGGAGAGAACACAAGTGGGAGGGAGGGTCAGTGGGAAAGAATCTCAAGCAGACTCCCTGCTGAATGCAAAGCCCGATGTAGTGCTTGATCTCAAGACCCTGAGATCATGACCTGAGCCAAAATCAAGAACCGATTAACTGCCTGAGCCACCCAGGCATCCCTGGAAGTGTTATTTCTAATTCACTAAGATAAGGACAGAGTAAGACAAACTGTGCAAACAGAAAAATTACTTTTATATATAACAAACATTCATATAACTATGATATGCTAACAATTTCAGTTTTAAAGAACTGGCAAAGAACTTGAAGTTCTCTCATTCTCATTTTGCTCAGAATTCTGTGGTATGGCTTTTATGTCAGTCTGATTCTCCTCTTCCCAACTTCTGGTATCATCTCCATTCACTCACTTTCCCATCCTAAAAGTATCTTTACAGACACATGAAATTTCTATATTTGTTGAAGCCTCATCAGCTTTGATCCAGAGTTTATAATTCTGAGGATTTTAAGTATCTCTTCTGATTGGATTCTAAATCAGTATTATTTTTAATACATCTTCTGTCAAAAAAGTGGATTGTGCCATAGAGATAAAAAGGTTGGCAGTGGGTTCATTGACTTCCTTAGTAAAGGTATTTTGCTCAAGGGCAAAGAGTCTGAGTCTCAAAGAATGAATGAATTAGATGATATAGCTTCATAGAAGTTCTGTTTTTCTCACTGTGGTGTAGTTGAAAGAGTACTAGCATGAGATTTAGATGTGTTCTAGATCCAGCTCTGCACTCATTTGTCTGGACCAGTCACTTACCTACAAGACCTCACTTCTTTTATATGTAGAGTGTGGAGAGTTTATACTAACATAAATGGAGGAGGGGTTGTCACCATTAACGGGACTTGAAATCATTTTTGTGGATAAGCACAAAGCTATTTTATTGCTTTATTATTTGGTTTATTTTGGTATTATTCATTTTGGTTTTTTCTTTGTCAAAATAAATGTGAAGTAATATCTGATATTAATTTTGTTATATTTTTACCATATCATAACTAGTAAGTCTAAGGATTGTATTGTGGAACCATTGTTTTAGATATATGATTATGTGTGCATTCCCTGCTGTGATGTAGAACATTTCTTACTGTGGATCGTGGTCAAAAATATTTTAAAAATACTGCATTAGCCTTAAAGTCCTTTTGAATTCTGTGATTTCAAAAGACTTAATAGCTAGTTAATGTGGAGGACATTAACTTTCTTGAGGCTCTACAGAACCATTAAGTTATCCCAGAGTATAGATTTTTTTTTTCACTAGTCCCTATATCTGGTGCGTCCCACAGGTGAGGCAGAAATAAGAGATATGGTTAGCAGCAATATAGGTACTTTAGTGGCAGGAGGCTACACCCTGATGGCACAATCTGACAAATGTGAAAAAATAAGTATAAACAATGCTATGGGGATACCCATTCAATCTCATAAAGGCTTCTCTCAACGTACAATGATTGAGTTTAGTCTAAAAAAAACTATTTGAAATTAGTTGGAGGAGAAGGAAGTAGGGATCCTGGGCTGGGAGAACGCAGCCCTTGCAAAGGTCATGACACGACATATACTGGGAAACAGATGTTGGAAATTATGAGAAGAAATGAGTGACTAGTCAGACTGCAGAGGGTCTTTTGTATCAGATCAAAATCTCTGAACTTTATTAAGAGAGCTGAGTAAAAATTTAAGCACAAAGAAGAAATGATAAAATTTGCGATTGAGAACCATTAGGGTGGACCAGAGCAGTCTGGTGGTTCTACTGTTTTCTGGTACCATTGCAGAACTAAATGAAAGGAATGGCAGGGAGACTGCCCATATGCAAGTTGTTTCTTCTGCCTAAAATGAAAATTCCTTCTCACAGTTGATGAAACCCCATATCTTCCTTGAAGATTCTAATCAAAATTACTGTGAAATTTTTCTCCTACCTCACATCTTGTGTCTTTTCTTTTTTCTAAAAGATTTTATTTATTTATTTGAGAGAGAGAGAATGAGAGATAGAGAGCACAAGAGGGAAGAGGGTCAGAGGGAGAAGCAGACTCCCTGCCGAGCAGGGAGCCCGATGTGGGACTCGATCGCGGGACTCCAGGATCATGACCTGAGCCGAAGGCAGTCGCTTAACCAACTGAGCCACCCAGGCGCCCTTCACATCTTATGTCTTAATTATTCCTGAAGCACAGCCATCCTGTTAAAAAAAAATCACATAAACAGGGGTGCCTGGTGGCTTAGTTGGTTAAGCCTCTGACTCTTGATTTCAGCTCAGATCATGATGTCAGAGTCAATAGATCAAGCCACATATTGGGCACTGGGCGTGGAGCCTTCTTCGGATTCTTTCTCTCCCTCTGCCCCTCCCCTACACTCTCTCTCTAAAAAAAAAAAAAAAAAAATCACGTAAACATTATATATACTTCTGTTGGCACTTCTCTGTCTGGTTAACTATTTGTTTACAGTTATGGCCCACAGTTAAATAGACAGCTCTCTCTATTCCCAGTGCCAAACATATTGCCTGGCCCAGTGTAGACCCTCAACATTTCTCTGTTAACTTATGGTAACATATACCTAAAGCCAAAGAACAGAGACTAAGAAAAGAGGAAAAGTTGGAGTAAATGAAAATTTCAAGTTTACTTTTTTCTTTTAAGATTTATTTATTTATTTATTCGAGAGGGAGATTGAGAGTACATGAGGCAGGAGGGGCAGAGAGAATCTCAAGGAACCCAACGCAGGGCTTAATCTCATGACCCTGACATCACAACCTGAGCCAAAACCAAGAGTTCAATGCCCAAAAGCCTATGCCACCCAAGAACTCGGAGTTTACTTTTCATTACATATCTATTCAAGAAGGTCTATGAGATAATTTGAGATAGTAATCAGAAGGTAAATAAAAAGTTAAATAGTGGAGAGAATTCATTTGAAGTAAACTTATGCCATGGTGCTGATAGGGATATATTGTAGAAGAGATGAAAGCATCAGATAAATGCCTATAGACTAGATTTTAAAGTTTTACTTATTTATTAATTCAAGAAGTGCTTATTATTCTAACTTATAACATACCAGTAGCACATTATATACACATAATATATATACATATATACTGTATTATATATACACATGGTATCTATTGTGAGTTTATATCATATGTGCATATATACACATATCACATGCACATAAACAAATATACACATAGACATGTACAAAATATAACAAATTTTCTCTATTTTTATGGTGTTTACAATTTAGAGGAGACATGGTAAACAACTAAAACAAATGGATATGAATTAAAAATGTAATAAGTATGAGGTAAAGGTTTTGTACTTTTTTCCAAAAATGTTTTCTACTTAGCTTTATTTCTTTTAATAATTTCTGGAATCAGTGATAATGCTGGTAGTGATAACTGCTGGCTTTTTAAAAAAAATAGACTTTCAGTTTATATGATAACACTCTACAGCCTACTTTTGTCCAAATACAAATGAAAGCTAAATTTGTGAAATGCATTTGAAAACATTAAATATTGAAAAACTTTCCCACTATATTTAAAGAAGCCTTGTGAAGATCTAAATAGGACCTAACCCTCTTAACACTATTCAACAAGTGTAGGAAAAGATGAAAACCAGTATCTTGACCAA